TTCTTCCATTTGTGACTTATGCGTACAACACCGCGACGCAGTCAACTTCAGGCTTCTCGCCTTTCTTTCTTTTATATGGGCGTGAGCAATGCTCCACCTTTGACACCATTTTGTCGTATCGTCCCGACGTCTCAGAGTTCAACCCTTTCTCTGAAATTGTGAACCACGCTGAAGAGTGTCGTCAGTAGGCCCGATCATTAACCTCGGACAAGCAAGCACTCGAAAAAGACCGCCACGACCGCGACCAGCAAGTCGAGACTTTTGCCGTGGGCTCGCTCGTCTGGCTCCGACTGCCCTTTCACTCCCCAGGTCTGTCCTCTAAGTTTGGCCCCAAGTTTCATGGTCCTTATCGCGTGGTCAAACGTCGATCTCATGTAACATACGTGATCGAGCCGGTCACGCCATCTACAGACAGGCGACGCCTTGGTCGTGAGACTGTCCTCATGAGTCGTCTCAAGCCCTATCACAACCCACTCCTACTCTCGTCACCTTGACTTGCCAGGATGGCTCGTCTTCGTCGCCGGGGTATTGTAGAGAGGAAGAAGATTATGTGCCGCAGTGGGTCACGCCTTTAGCGAGAGGAGCCAAGTGCGAACGTTTGCCCCGAGTGCTGTGATTCCTGGGTCCGTTGCTGCCGCCCGCTTTCCGCATCAATAGACCTGCTGTGCAAGTACTACTTGCACCAATAAACCCCGTTTCACTTGTTTTGACACAATATTAATGAGATCTAATAGACAATAATGCCAAGGAATGTATAGAGGCAGTTATTAGAACCAATGTAAAGTAAATAAGACAAAAAAGTGGGTCGTAGGTTCGATTCTCGCTCACGGCAAGTTATTTTTCCACCCACTTTTCTTTCTTCTTATTTACTTTACATTGGTTCTAATAAATTCCCCTATACATGCCTTATCATTATTGCCTGTTAGATCTCATTAATATATATATATATACATACCGTATTTACTCGCATAATCCTCGCACTTTTTTTGCCGGAAATGCAAAGTTGGGGGGCCCGAAAATTACGCAGGGAAAAATTTCTACGAATACATACAGAGCGAAAAAGAGAACGGAGTGGCCGCAAATCGGAATTCTCACACCAGCAACTAACAGCAAGCTTTAAGAAGTACTAATTAAAACTTACCTCAACAATAAAAGCAGAGGTTTAACACAAGACAAGTTTATTTGAGACACAAGAAGTGAAAGCAAATAGTCGAGAACTAGAATACCATACGCAAAGCTTGTGAACGTTGCGGGCATAGCGGTAGCGTTCATCGCTCAACAGGAGCCCTCAAAAGGTAAGTGTAGGACGTCAGTATTGGGCTGACGGCCATTTAACAGAATCGTCCGCAGTTTCCTTCTGAAGAAATAAAGTTTACCATCAATCCCAGTTTCACGCACACGGCAGGCCCAAGCGTCTTGGTGGCTTGCAGCTGCCGTCACCAGTAGTGAACACAAAACTCGTAAACTCTGAAGGGCCTACCGACGGCCCTGTTGCCGTTGTTTAGTGCATGATCTATCCCTTTCAACTCGAAAGCAGCCGTCTAGCTTCAGTATCGCCTCAAAACGTGACAAGATCACCGACACAACATACAAAGCACGCCGCAACGCGCACTGGCCACTTCGGCTAGGCTTGAATTGAATTGAATCTCCGTGCAATAGTACGCTTGATGGTTAAGAGATGGCGCAGACGGCAAGTGCTATCATCATCAGTGGCTGGAACGAGCAGACGACATTATTGCGGCAGTTTTCGGGGATGCGATAATTACTCGAGAAAAAAAAATCGTATTTTGTTGGGCGATGTGGGGGTGCTAGAATTATGCGAGTGCGAGGATCACGCGAGTAAACTCGATGTATATATATATATATATATATATATATATATATATATATATATATATATATATATATATATATTTCTTTGTTTGTGTTTTTGTAACTAACAGACAGGACAACAACTGTTTTTTTTTTTTTTTCTTGTTCAAGTTCTGTTTGCACTCGTCATCACGGGTATTTTCCAACTTGCTACTGTATTAAAGAATTAAACACCAAGGCGTTGTGTTGTATTCCAGATTAAACTATGTCAGGAAGCTGAAGAAAAATTGGGGTGCAGTACGATTAATGTTCTAGCATATATTTCATCTTGATTACCAATTTATCAGATAGCTTATACGTCTTGCTCTACATGATTTGAAGTGTTTTTCTAAATTGAGGTTCAGAAAAATTTTTTCATGCTAATCAACAAAAGTGACCAGAGGAAGTCTGTTCACAAAAAGTTCTTAGGTGAGCCTGTTTGTTCATAAACATAGTGGCAGAACAGTGCAGAATATGGGACGACGAACATACAGGACACAGCGGTGTGTCCTGGGTGTTTTACAGTCGCATAATTTGCGTTGTTCTGCCCCAATCTGCATTAACCACCTAGCTCAACTGAGAACCCACAAGCATTTGATTTCTTCTACACCGACACCTTTAGCACCTTTCATCTCAAGCTCTTCAGAATCCACCCTGTGTGTTTCACTGTTACGTATTTTCGGACTGTAATGTGATGATTTCCGTTCGGTTTTTATTGGTGTCATCCATTGGCAGATTCGGAGCGCTTCCGGTAGCAATTTTTCTTCTCCGTCCGGAGCAAGTATGTTACATTGGCAGTTTGAGAGTGCTCCCTGATCTGCATTGGCAGATCGGGAACAACTTCGTCGTGACAATCCGCTCTACGGAGCAACTTTTCTGCTCCAAGAAAAGCGGTGAATCGGACCAGAAGTCTGAAGCACCCCATGCACCGGAATGGAGCCAACTGCGGGTGTACCGACGGACGCCGGGCGCGTCGCTCTGCCAATCCGGCCCAGACGGCAGAAGCACGCATCGTGCTCCATTCTAATTCTGCCACTTGCTCCAGTGGCAGCATGTGTGTTCCATTGGTATTTCCCTTGATGGGCCTCCGCCAAAGCGGAGTGCTCCAGTGTGGAAATTGTGGGCCACTACGAATCCTTTCATGGATAACACCATATAAATTGCTGCATATCAAATATCGGGACACTACGTGCTGCCCTCCTTTTAAGTATCTCGCTCACCCCTCTGCAGGTACTTGACGGCCTCGTCGTAGTTGTCCATCTCCTGCAGCGCCTGACCCAGAAAAAAGTGACCCTTGATTGAGCTGGGGTCAAGGTCGAGGGCACGACGACAGTCCTGGCAGGCCAGCTCCCACTGCTGGAGCTTGAGGTAGCATAGCGCCCGGTTCGTGAAGTAGGTGGCCGTGGATGGACTCTTTATCTGCCGAAATGAAACACGCTAGGGGCTTTCTGGAAGCTGAACACACATAATTATTTATTGCATGAATTTATTTCAATACCCTAATCACCCTATTGGACGTTATGTTGGGGGTGAGATTTATTTGATGTTTACTGGCGTAAAGGTTCTAGGTGGCCAAAAAGTACCACAACTATGAGTTGACGTTAATAAAAAATAATAGATTCTAAAGCCAAGGAAGGTTTAGAGGATGTTCACTTCCAGTTGACGAAACAGGGAACCTGGGGCTGTGTTCTCTAACAATTAAAATTTTGCCATTGGCAACACCATTATCAAACCCCCTGCCATGCCCCAGCAGTAATGCCATTACCCAATCATGTGATGACAGAGCAAGACCTTCAGAAACAAAATCATGACAAAATACAGCCCTGGTTTGGAATTTGAACCCAGATCCAACATATTTTCAGGGGTCATCGTTCTACCACGTAGCAGAGCAAAGCAGGAGGTCAGCACACGCGAGCGCAAGGGTGAATTGAATCTCCGTGCAATAGTACGCTTGATGGATATATATATATATATATATATATATTAATATATATATTTCTTTGTTGTGTTTTTGTAACTAACAGACAGGACAACAACTGTTTTTTTTTTTTTTCTGTTTCAGTTCTGTTGCACTCGTCATCACGGGTATTTTCCAACTTGCTACTGTATTAAGAATTAAACACCAAGGCGTTTGTGTTGTATTCCAGATTAAACTATGTCAGGAAGCTGAAGAAAAATTGGGGTGCAGTACGATTAATGTTCTAGCATATATTTCATCTTGATTACCAATTTATCAGATAGCTTATACGTCTTGCTCTACATGATTTGAAGTGTTTTTCTAAATTGAGGTTCAGAAAAATTTTTTCATGCTAATCAACAAAAGTGACCAGAGGAAGTCTGTTCACAAAAAGTTCTTAGGTGAGCCTGTTTGTTCATAAACATAGTGGCAGAACAGTGCAGAATATGGGACGACGAACATACAGGACACAGCGGTGTGTCCTGGGTGTTTACAGTCGCATAATTTGCGTTGTTCTGCCCCAATCTGCATTAACCACCTAGCTCAACTGAGAACCCACAAGCATTTGATTTCTTCTACACCGACACCTTTAGCACCTTTCATCTCAAGCTCTTCAGAATCCACCCTGTGTGTTTCACTGTTACGTATTTTCGGACTGTAATGTGATGATTTCCGTTCGGTTTTTATTGGTGTCATCCATTGGCAGATTCGGAGCGCTTCCGGTAGCAATTTTTCTTCTCCGTCCGGAGCAAGTATGTTACATTGGCAGTTTGAGAGTGCTCCCTGATCTGCATTGGCAGATCGGGAACAACTTCGTCGTGACATCCGCTCTACGGAGCAACTTTTCTGCTCCAAGAAAAGCGGTGAATCGGACCAGAAGTCTGAAGCACCCCATGCACCGGAATGGAGCCAACTGCGGGTGTACCGACGGACGCCGGGCGCGTCGCTCTGCCAATCCGGCCCAGACGGCAGAAGCACGCATCGTGCTCCATTCTAATTCTGCCACTTGCTCCAGTGGCAGCATGTGTGTTCCATTGGTAGATTTCCCTTGATGGGCCTCCGCCAAAGCGGAGTGCTCCAGTGTGGAAATTGTGGGCCACTACGAATCCTTTCATGGATAACACCATATAAATTGCTGCATATCAAATATCGGGACACTACGTGCTGCCCTCCTTTTAAGTATCTCGCTCACCCCTCTGCAGGTACTTGACGGCCTCGTCGTAGTTGTCCATCTCCTGCAGCGCCTGACCCAGAAAAAAGTGACCCTTGATTGAGCTGGGGTCAAGGTCGAGGGCACGACGACAGTCCTGGCAGGCCAGCTCCCACTGCTGGAGCTTGAGGTAGCATAGCGCCCGGTTCGTGAAGTAGGTGGCCGTGGATGGACTCTTTATCTGCCGAAATGAAACACGCTAGGGGCTTTCTGGAAGCTGAACACACATAATTATTTATTGCATGAATTTATTTCAATACCCTAATCACCCTATTGGACGTTATGTTGGGGGTGAGATTTATTTGATGTTTACTGGCGTAAAGGTTCTAGGTGGCCAAAAAGTACCACAACTATGAGTTGACGTTAATAAAAAATAATAGATTCTAAAGCCAAGGAAGGTTTAGAGGATGTTCACTTCCAGTTGACGAAACAGGGAACCTGGGGCTGTGTTCTCTAACAATTAAAATTTTGCCATTGGCAACACCATTATCAAACCCCCTGCCATGCCCCAGCAGTAATGCCATTACCCAATCATGTGATGACAGAGCAAGACCTTCAGAAACAAAATCATGACAAAATACAGCCCCTGGTTTGGAATTTGAACCCAGATCCAACATATTTTCAGGGGTCATCGTTCTACCACGTAGCAGAGCAAAGCAGGAGGTCAGCACACGCGAGCGCAAGGGTGAATGAAACAGGCAACACAATGCACAGGCAGCTCCAATTGATGCATTTCGCAGAAGCCAACAAGGCAAACTGAAGTTTATGACCAAGAGAGACTGCTATCCACCTGTTCATTGCCCTTGCTACTCGGCATATGTCAGCAGACGATGCTCACAAACAATGCCAACTTGCGCACAAACAACATCCCATTGTGCCCAGGAAGTTAGTTACCCTTCACTTTTGACATCAATGGCATTTACACTTATTTCTTGGCAGAAGGCAGACCTATTTGATGTCTCAAGATACTGTTTGTTTACTTTTACTCCCCTACCAAACTAATAAAAAACAACAACATCGAGTCACTCGAGCAGCGAATACGAAAGCAAGGGCCAGAGTTTCTCGAACTTCTCTACACTGATAATTTATCCCTCGACACATCTTTATATATCTATCACGGCCATTAATTAGAACTACATGCCACACAGACATGATGCACTAACCCCTTACTTGGCAAGAATGAACACGCTAAAGTATTCTTTTTTTTTTCTCATTCTATAACCTAATTAAAAATGTATAACTTAATCAACATTGCAATCTTGTATCTTTTTTTTTTGCCAAATGCATTCCCTGAATGTAACGTTTGTTGCCCGTCCTGCTTGGACAACATGCCTGCAGTAGTTAGTAGGTAAATAAACTCGTTAGCCTCAAGGGGTGGCGTTACAAATGAAGTGGCTACAATGCAAATACAAAGCAATAACAAAAAAAGAACAATTTGTGGCTGCACCTGACGACCAGACTTCCAAACAAGACAACAAGCACTCGCTGGACTGGTGAAGAGAAGTGCCCTCGTCGAAACACATGACTTCAGTGACAATTTCTGCTAAACCACCTTTCATCACTTGATGCAGAAAATACGCTTTCACAGAACTGCACTTCACTGTTAAGCTAGCAAACAGGTGAAGCTATAGGTAAAACGAAAACCATAGGAAGCGAGAGATACTTCACACGAATCGCGTACCACAGGAAGCAAGACATATTTCACACGAATCGCGTGATTTCAAGCAGTGCTTGTTTACACACCGGCGCATGTGTCAACAACCCCCCCCCCCCCCCCCCCCCCCCGAAAGCGGGCTGTTTTACCAGGAAATCGCGCATCACCGAAAGCGCGAAGCCACGATAAAAAGTATGAAAAAGAAAAACACAAATCGCCAGATGGACGAAATGCGCTCGGAACTACGCATGTCTTTCCCTTTTTTTTTTCTTAAGCTCTTTCTCTCTAAACAATGCGGCTGTTTTTAGAATTAAGCCGTCCGACCTCCCGCGACGCAATGATTCACCGATCCACCACCTCCGCGTTCTTTGTTTGAGTTTTTATAAAAGCATCTTAGTGGACCTGCTCTCAAGAACAACAAAGGAAGGTGCTTCAGTACTGCTCTCAGTCGACAACTCGCGCCAGCGTGTAGAGCCTGATGTTTTTGGAAATCATAGTAATATACAACCTTGGCAGAGAGCGCGATCATTTCTATCAGACGAAGACTGGCTGCTAGCAACGCAGTTTCTGGAGGCCCGGTCGGGGAAAATTAATCGGCTTTGCGTCCCTTGCGAGACTTCATGGGGACAGCACGATGCATTCATGTCAAACCGGCAACGGGAGAACGCCGCGATAGAGCTTCATTCAATCAGACCTTGCATCTCTTTGTTTTGTTTGGCCATCCATCAATCGAATGCATCAGATTTTCGTTCGCAAAACTGTACTTGTCGACGGCATTTCTCGATCGCTCAGACTGCTCGACGTAAAAAAAAAAAAAAAAAAAAGAAAACTAGTTCTGCCACCATCCGTGACTAGTTTCGCCGCTGGAATTCCATCGAAAGCGAAAGAAACGCAAAGGAATGCAAGCAAACGCGCACTGGATGTAACTAACAAAAATAAAAAAAAAGCTTCAACAAAAACACAAGCTCGGCTCGCGGCGGGGTTTCTTTTCTGACAAGCTCGCCCTCTAGCCAACCACATAGTAACGAAGATCGGGATAGCGACGAGACTCGTCAAGAGGGTCACGTCGAGGTCCCGAGGAATCCGAGAAGCGAGCCTCCTGCGACTGCTGCAGGCCTTTGCAGTTAGCCACGCAGCATACGCGGGGGCCTTTCACAAGTGGACGGAAGCGGAGAGGAAGCGAATCGACGCGGCCATCCGCAAGGCGTATGCGGGTGCCATGGGCCTGCTCAACGGCACCAAGACGACGGCCTTGCTATCTCTGGGAGCGCACAACACGCTCTCGGAGATCGGCGAGGCCCAACGTACTGCTCAATTGACGCGCCTGGGCCGCACCGCGGTCGGCAGGCGGCTGCTGGAACGAGTGGGCCTGTCCTCCCCCGAGGAACAAGACCACGAAACGTCTCCACTCACGGAGTCAACCATGCGAAGACTGGTGGTGTATCCGCTGCCAAAGAACATGGGTCCCGGCGAAAGCGAGGGACGACGAGCGGCGCGAGCCAGGGCGCTGCTGCTGCAACATCAGAACGACGAGGGCGCCGTCTACGTGGACGTGGCCAAAGTCAAGAACAAGGACGCCTACGTGGCGGCGGCGGTCGCCGCAACGACGGGCAAGATCGTCACGTCATGCAGCGTGCGTACGCGGAGCGCGAGCCAGGCCGAGGAGATGGCGATAGCCTTGGCGGCGCGCTCCCCGGGCGTGCGGACAATACTCAGTGACAGCAAGACGGCCATCCGTAGCTTCTCGCGCGGAGCCGTGTGCGGGGCGGCTGCTAGGGCGTTGGCAAGCGACGAGTCCAAGTCGAGGCTGACGCTAAAATGGTTCCCGGCTCACATGGGTAGGGACCTGATACCAGGATCTCCGAACCGCAACGAGGAGGCGGATGCCGCGGCCCGTGGTCTCGCCACGTGCCGGACCGCGGCCGCGCCCGCCTCCGAAGACACGACGACGACCAAAGAAGAAGGCGAGGAGCAGCTGCTCGATTACGGCGACATCCTCGCGTGGTACAGGGAGCAACGGCGTGGCTTCCCGCCTCCGCACAGGGATCTTACCCGGTGGGAGGCGGTGAGGTTGCGCCAGCTCCAAACCGAGACTGTGCTGACCCCATCGCTAGCGCGACACGTGTGCCCCGAACTCTACGTGAGTGAAATGTGCAGTGTGTGCGCGAGCGCGAAAGCCACCCTGGCTCACATACTCTGGGGATGTGACGCAGACAGCGCGGACGGTCCGGTGTTACCGCCGCAAGTAGAACAGCGTGTGGGGTCTACGGACCCAGAAGACCAGCGAAGGGCCGTCCGGCAGCTCGAGGTCGCACTGGCGCTGCAAAGGCGAAAGGGGGACACCCTCAGTAACCCGAGCGGCGACGGGGCACGAAGGCCTTGAGGTCTAGGCCCGCGTGACATTAGGACTTCTAGTGTAACGTGAGATAGGGTGAACCCCACGCCCTGCGCGGCCGGAGGGAATCCCGCATGCTGGAACCCAATAAAGTTTATTCTCTCTCTCTCTCTTGCAAAGCTAAACAAACACAGAACAAAAAAAAAAAAACACAGTCTTCCCTTTTACGCGTTTTTTTTTTTCCTTTCTCGCAGCCTTCGACAATAAACACGCTCGGCAAGGCGAACTGCGTCTCCAACGATGAAGGGCGATTCAAGACCTTCGTTTTATTTTTATTTTTTTCCTTTTTGATGACATCCACCGCGCAAGCGGTTTTGCGCGACCCGTCAGCTGTGTTCCATCGGGTCAAATCAAAACATCCATGCGTATGCCTTACAACTTGGTCGATCGCGTTAACTATCGACGTGACAACGCGCTGGACTCGTCAAATTAACTATCTATACTAGTGAAACTGCTATCGGATCCTGAATTATCGGGAATGCCTCTCGGGATCGCGTCAAGTAGCTCGTCCAAATAGAACTTTTCTTCCGCTATAAAGCGCGACAATCGATTCCAGCTCATCGGCAGCTTCAATAAGGGACAGTGCGATTACTAAAAGCGTCGCTAACAAAGCACCAAACCATGACGGCTGCACATTTCTTTTTTCGTCTAATCGGAGAAAGGATCAAAACTCACGATTGCTTTGCTGTAGCAGGATATGGCGTCTTCGTACTTGCGCGCAGTGAACAATTTGTTACCGAGGTCTTTGAGTTCGACGGCAGTCATGGTGTCCTTCATAATCCAGTCGTGCCACCCGGTCAAGTTGCACGTGTGAAGAGCTATTATTAAAAACTACAACAGCAATTGCACTGCGCCTTTGTTGCCTAGCCGATCCGCCAGCTTTTGGTGAGCGCCATTTAACTTTGAGGGTCTTTTCAGCAGGCCTGGCCGTGCGTGTTTTAAACTTACAAATTTAGAAAACCGAGAGGGCGCTACTAACAAGTCACAATCACAATAATGATGGTTATGGCGTGTTTTTATCGCTTGTAGAGCCTCAAAGCATGGCTCCTGTAAGACTTATGGCATTTGCTCGAAAAAGAAAAACCGTTGTATTAGGGCTAGATTCTGTCGAGCGTTTCTTGAAACAAAAGGCTAAAAGAGTAGCGTTTCTCAGCACCAAATAAAGTTATGTGTCTGTCTGGAGCACACTACAGACAGGCTCATGCATTCATTGCAATTCAATGCGTTCAAATCATATCAGGCATTACCCCACAGAAATTTCCCAAAGTATGTCCTGAATCTCGAAGGCTGTACTCTTTCGTTCTGCAAGTTATAGACTTTCTTTTAAATACACTAGTTCCTCTAGTGTACAAGACTCGTGCGCTAGTGTACATGGGAGCTGCAACACACAGCGCTTCAGCTAACATGGGAAAGACGGGTAGTGCATGAATTTGTCTAATCTGTTTTTTCGGATCTATTTACTCCATGTGGCTTAAATTCGTTTTAACACAAGACAAAGTTCAGCAAATGCTGAACAACTACACTTTATCGCCTAGACCTATCTTTAAGCTCACCCCTCCGAACCTGCTTACAAAGTTCACAAGAGTCTTTTATTCGAACCAAAACACAACAATGAGCAAAGTCACAAGGGTATTTGAAGCCCGCAAGCACATGGACTAGGCGAATCTTTGTACTACTCCCTATTCCCATGGTGGCTGAACGATTGCAGCACCAGACTCTCCTCTAGTTCATTTTTAGGAAACTATGCTGCAAGTGCCAGATGAAATTGCACGAGTATGGCCACCATGTTTTGAACACCACCTGTTCACAACCACTTAGCAACTAATTTCAAAGCCTGTCAAGTAGGAATTGAGACTACACAGCATCATGTTTCACTTCAAACTGCAGTCGGACATTCGCAGATGCTGGCAGCAATGAAATAAAACAACAGTCAACCACATTGTTGAGATGTTGAACATTTGATAGCTTCATCTTTACGGCTCATTGACTACTTAAGGGTTGAAAGCACATGCAGCTAGAAGTAACATTGTCATGCTGAGAAAAAGAGAGGCCATCCATAATGTTTGTAATATACTATTTTTATTATCAGCTGTACAGATCTACATCCGTTAACCACATTTTATTAATGGTCAAACGTAAAAAACTATGACTATAAAAAAAGTGAAGAACTACATGCCATCGATGCATAGATAACTTCATCCATTCCCATAAGGTCCCTTTTCCCCTAAGCTTTGGATATCATGCATACTTAAAATGAATCAGAAGCGAAGCTTTTATTCCAAAGAAAGAAAAAGAAGGGATTTCTTCTGGCTGTTCAAAGAAACGGTAGTCAGCACTTGGCTTGGCTCGACCTTCGGCTTCGCTCATTACCTGGCTGGTGCCACAAAGAAGGTAGGAGAGAGTGAGGAAAAGAGAGAGAGGAGAAAAGAAGAGCGAAATAAACTACGAGATGACAGGAAATGACTAGCTAAATGCAACGTTAAGCATCTCTTTGACGGAAAGGAGCTTCTCACTGGGTTTGCCTTTCCGTTCGCCCTCCGCCTTTTCGTGAGCTTCGATCTTGAGCCACTCGTCGAAAGTGACGGGTCGCACGCCTGCAAAAAACGATGCAGAGTGCAAAACGACCCGTTGGCCGTGATTTCAAGATGCGATAAATGTAAACTGCTGGGGCTGTACATGCCAAAAACCATGATATGATTATGACGCGCGCCGTATTGGACGACTCTGGATTAATTTTGACCACCTGCGTTTCTTCAATGTGCACCTAAATTTAAGTGCACAGGTGTTCTACGCATTTTGAAGGTGTCAAAATGCAGCTGTGTCGGGATCTGGGAAGTCCAACCTGCAACCCTAAGCTTACAGAAAAAACCCTCTAACTGCTGAGCTACCAGGGCAGGTGAAGAAATGACAAACGTAAATTTAGTCGTGTCACAAATGACCTTGAAAGCCATGGACACCATTTCACTTGACTCAAATTGCACTTTGGCTAAATTTGTTGTGAGTGATTAGCCTAGCAGTGAAGCAATCTTCGTGACACTGCAGCACTGGTACCTTTGCGAAGTTTTCTTGCTAACAGCCGTTGGACAGCACCTAAACAAACGATGCGTGCATGGCACCTCCGAGATTTTCGGGGAGGAAGCCTGATCTCAAAGGCCATGCTAAATAGCTATGCACTTTAGGTCCCGCATCGCTTCAGGCTAGCTATCTTTTCCGGTGCATTCTTTTCTTTTCAAGTTTTGCTACTGCGTACGGCTATTCTTGTGAGCTTTTGACGACAATTCCAGTGGCATTTCAAATGTGAAATTTCGCACAGCTGCTGCCTGGCCACCAGACTGCCTGTACAGGGGAGCTGAAAAGTTTTTGGCTTTGTCACCTTTTGCTGAGAATTCAATTATAAGTGTGGAACCATCTGAAAGCTTGACACCTTATAGAATAGTTGTGCAAGTTTGAGATGTGTAGGATCTTCAGAACTAGTTTCAATTTCAGACAGAACGTGACATGACAGAGCTATAAAAGCAGGTTTCTTGTAGGTGGAGCTCTAGGGTTTCACAAAGTTCTTGTTTCTCTGGGAAAAGTCTACAAAGGACATTCACACCCAAATGTCAGGAACATTGGGGGAGAAGTGCCCTTCCTAGAGCACTCAAATGCCGGCTTTCTCGTTTGAAGTCAGGACATTTTGTCGTTGAATTTCAGGCACGTAGTGGCCATCGAAAAACCTCGAGGAATTCGGTAGCTAGCTATGCTGTCTAAAAGCGGATTCCTGGTGAGTGGCGAATACTTGCTGAAAATATAGCCCAGTTCCTGAAGATGTTCCAAGAGAGTGTCAGTTCTATTCGCACCAATATTGCATACATGCGCAGGCTTTCAGCGAAGCACCAAAATGTTTGAACAGTCAACAGTGAACATTCACGCACGTTCAAAGTTGTGGCCGCCAATTTAAAGACCCTGGGTTCCAGATTGGCCCAGCTTCAGTCATATTCACGTCACCTAGTCTGTTCTAACTACCACAAGTTTCCTAATTTGAAGAAACATTTAAAGGAAAATCATTCTGAAAACATTTTTGATGTAAAACATGCTACTGATAGCTTTTTCGACAAACTAGAAAAAATGCAACAACAATGTAGTAAGGGCATCTGTTTGAGGACGGATTATTTAGAATAACTGAGCACTTTCAACGCTGTGATTACACACTTGCCGTGCAAGGCCAGGAACTTCTGAGCATCCCTGTAACTACAGGCATCTTACACGGACGAACACTTAGTTGTGGTTGGACTTCACCTACCAACGCATACACGCTAAAGCTCGGGGAGCATGTGTATGTGAAGTTCAAAAGCCACGACTCGCCTTTGGACTTGAGAAGTTTCAAGATGGCTACCGATCCCTCCCTGTCATCTGCCGGCAGGAGACCAGACTCCGCGTCCTTGACGATCGCCTGGCCCGTTTCGAAGCTGCTGTTCATTGTTGCCACCAGAACCCCTACCGGACCAGTCTTCAGCCAGCCACTACAGTAGACACCTGGACAGCCAATAAAAAAGCGTGTACAGCATTGACCATGTACTCTAAAGTGAACACCTCAATAATATCCAAGCAGGTAAAACTACAACGTTTGTTATACTTCATGAGGAAAATGTCTTTACCCGACGTCTAACCATGGTGTCTGTAAAGACAATAATTTTCTTAATTGTGTATTACACTGGCTGACAACTTTTCTTGGCAGTGTTGTGGATGCTACAGGACCGAAATGCATGCATGCATGTGCATTAATAAATAGCAGATATTTTAATTTTAGAATTTTCATACTTAGCTAACTTGAACCATTTTAAGAATAAAACATGCGCAGGAAACAGTTGGTGGGAAAATGGTGTTGTATGCTTTATTAGGTATTTCTTTTTCTTTCTTTTTTTTCTTTTTGACAGTACCACATTTTCCGCACACCTGTGCTCGCAGCAAGCCAGCTGAGCCATGCGCAGCTGCACACTTGCCGTTTCGTTCTCCGGCATATGTACTTGAGATGTGGAAAAAGTGGCTGTCAAAACAGACCAAGCAAGTTAGCTGCGACATATACAATGAGGCGAGCTGCTGTCGGCCTGAATCGTCAACGATTTCTATGAGCAAGCAAAGCCAAAACTCGAAACTGCAATCAGCTGTGAGCTGCCGCACTACTCGCACAGTAACACAGATATATGGATGATTCGGCTCCATAAACATCACTCCACTGTCAAGATGAGTTGTCGCAGAGTATACTACACGTCATCTTCTATGCGATCTTGAATACTAATTAGGTGTTCATCTTAAACATGGACAACCCTGTACATATACACATTTCGAACTCTCCAACCTGAACACGCCAGTATCAATCACCAAGTTAATAAACTACCTGGCAGATGAAAGCTGCACTAGACTGCTCTCCGCACACAGATGCATTCTTTCTCATTTCTCCACTGTATTTCGTCAAACTGCACCTATCGAGCAAATGGTCAACACTTTCGTATTCTTGTTTAAAAACTGGGAGGGCACACATCGAATCCGACAGCGCCAAAGGAGCACCAGAGAGACACTAGAATGAAGGTTGATCAGTCAAATAACCCTTTGCCAATACCAAGAACATCGCTTTTCCCACAAGTCGATACTTTGCAAGCCAGAAAGGCACAGACAAAAAAGACAACTTGAACCGCTGCCGTGAAGTGTCTGCACTAAATCGCCATGATGTCACCGATTTTGACGACGTCTGGTAGGTTCCTAATGATTTTCGCATCAGCAAATAGAGAGGCAAGTCAGACTTTTAGCCTGGCAAGCTTCAATATGATTTAATGAGCCAATAAAGCATTATTAAAGACACATTCACCTTCTCCTGCAAATGTGTCCAGCTATTTACACAAACGACAGTTCTTAAAGGGGACCTGCGACACTTTTTGAGCATGGTCAGAAAATGCTGCCGATCGGTAGTCGAGGCTCTTGAGAACACTCGAGCCAAATATTATAGTGCAGCATGTGGCCTGGAACTCAAAATAAATTCTCAAAGTCATTTAGAAAATGGTTTCTCTTCTCTCAACAGAGGACAGAACAGGCTCAAAAATACCTCGTCACAGCCATTGTATTAGCCATTGGTTGATTTGAGCACGGCACGCTCGGTCATTACAGGGGCCCCCACAGGAGGCTGAAACTTATCTATGCGTGCGTGATCACACTGAAATGTCATGAATTCGAAGAAAAAAGAAAAAAAGAGAGAAAAAGTGCTCGGGAGAGGAGAGAATCCAACTGCAGCTTGTGACAAATATTTGTAACTACGCTCGTAGAGAACGGATTCTAAACATTTTTTGTGGGGGTGAATTCATGAGATAATAAGCTCCTTAGGTGAATCCATTTTGTGACTAGTTGAAAAAGTGTTGCAAGGCCCCTTCAAATGCATTCAAATACAAAGAAAAACCAATGTTATAAGTATAGTCTAAAAAGCAAGAGTTGGTTCTGCAGTGGTAAAGGCTGTCTTTTTTTTTTTCTCTTTTTCCAAGTTCAGAAATAGATACCGTGAAAAGTAAAGTATGGTACCTGGCAAAGAATCGACGCGGCCGTGAGAATTTGGCAGGTAGCCTCGCTTGCTGTCGTACGGGATGGTGGGGTCGACCGCTTCGCTAGTGTAGCCAATGCTTTTCAGGACCTGGAAGTGAGACGGGAGTTGATGAAACAGAAAAAAAAAATAAGGTATCACAAAATCAACGAAGATAACCCGACAGATGGCACAGAGCACTCTCAGTTCATGATCGTCTTCATCAACCTGGTCAAAGCACACCTTAAGTTTGTTTTTATCTGGGGAAGAGCCTTAAATACCTCATGAAATGTGAAAATTAACCGTCTGCGTCCTGCGGCATTGGCACGAGTGATGCGACAAACCAGGATCAGGTCACTACGTCACCATAAGACATCGCGGATTGCCAAAATATGCGACGTCACCATGATGCCATCATGTGATGCTGTTGTTTGGTAAAACAATGTGGGCTGAGCGTGTAGGCATTGCCAAACAATGTGACATGCATAAAATTTGCAATGCCTCTGATCCTGGAGGAGGTGCAGAACCTTGTTGGCCGCAGACAACTTCCAGAAGGGTTCAAGGCAGGTTGAGTACAATGAACAAGAAAAAACAAGATGGCCTTTGCCATTCAGCCATCTTAAATGAAAACACAAGAGGTCCTGTGAGGTTTCCCTAGCAGTACTGGTTTCGTCTCGTCACTGAAAAACATCTCCCCAACTTTGCATGTTCAGGAAATACAGGCATTGGACAACGACGGTTATCCATCACACTTACCATTTGGCATGGAATCATCTCCGTCTCGCCCGTTGCAACAGCCTTGATTCCCGATTCAGTTTTCTGGAAGCAGGAACAAAAAGTGATGAAGCACACGCTTAAAAAAAAAAAAATCAACCCCACGTTGAATACAATGGCAACAAAGAAACATTGTCTTCGAGCATCATTGAAGACGCAATACTTTGTAAGAAAAGGATTAATTTGCTTAAACAGAATATTGCATGTGTCACATAGACTACAATGCGCTCCACACACAATCCATGCACGAGTCTTTTAACGTCATACATAGTCGTCTTTACTGGCTACAACTGAAACCTGCCCATTTCATTAAAGTGCTACCGCTCTTGCAACACATACGTGTTATTACAAATATCGGCCTGTCTTGCATGTTGTAGCTCAGTGACCCCTGATTAGTCGCATGCTGATGAAACTTCACCGACAAGACAGAAATGCGCGATTCACTCAATATGGGCCCGGAGCAAAAAAAAAAAAAAAAAAAAAGAAAGAAAAAAAAGGGATGAAACTGAGGAATAGTAAAGAACACAAGGAAGCTCCGTGTCTTGCATGTTCTCACTCCACAAATTAAGACAATTCCAATTCGCATCTAAGATGTCAGTCTGTAAGGGCAAGTCAACCACAGTCAACCCTCAAAATAATGAACCCTGACATGAACAAAATATCGGTTATAACGAAGTAAATAGAGAACAGTCTTGCAACAAATAGTGTTAGGAATACACCTTTATAATGAAGTTTTGGATATAACAAACTTATTTTCGTATAAGGTGCAACATTGTTATAATGAGGTTTGAGTGTATCTCAAAACGCCCGAAAAGTGCTTGACGTCCCGAAAATGAAGAAGTGCCTTTGGATGGAGCACCCATGTGTAATCTCTACGGCAGGGAAAGTGGTTGGTGTGGACGAAGCTATCACTCTTTTTTCTTCTTAAGTTGTAATTGTATAGTCAACTGAACTAGCAAAAACAAGTTTTGTACACACACGAGTACAAGCCATCTCAAAGAGTCGGCACAGGATTATTGCGGCATCGAAAATCTTAATATCGGGTATGAGTGGCTACAGCACTCTACAGGTCACCGACCTCGAGCCGGTTGACGGCCATCTCGACGCTCGAGACACGTCCCGTGCTTGAATCAGCCAGGAAGCGCAGGGGACTCCGCAGAAAGCGCAGCTCCCACGAACGGGGCTGGCTGGTCGGTTTCTTCTCCGACGTCTGCACCATGAGCTCGAGCAGACGCTTGCGGGGCCGTGGCAAGTCTGCCCGCAAAGGTGGAAGGCCACGCGTTACTCACATATGCACCATTCGTACATTTTTCTTTTAAGTGGCAACAGTTCAAGTTTCACACCAGCTCCTTTCCTCACAACATCAATCAATAGAGGCTACTATTAGATGAGTACTACGCTCAGTTTCATACATCAGGTGCAGCACTGAGGAATATGTGCAAGAAGTTCGGTCAGCAAAACGTGAGTCACAGCTGCACGTCTTGTGCTTGGATTTCATCGTTGCAAACGTGGCTTCCACAATGGGCTCCAAGTGTTTGCGACTAAAACTAATCGTGGAGGCCACAATACAAAACAAACAGACGCTAAGTGATCCAGTTTACAACCTATTGACAAGCGAATGCACTTACACCTTGATATAGTAGATTCAACCATAACGAACTATAGGTTATAACGAAGTAAGTGACCAATAGCTTTGCCATAGATACAGTGTTATAAATAATTGTTTATAAAGAGTTTTCGGGTAAAATGAAGTATTTTCTTGGCAGATGCGAGTTTGTTATAATGAGGTTCGAGTGTGAATAGTGATGTTTGTTTATCTCGGAGACGCAAAGCATGTTCATTTAAAACTCAGTAAAAGCGACAAAAATGTGTGGTAAAACGATTAAACTATTCCTTAGTGCAAGCGCACCAGCTGCAAGACATCCTGTCAGCTTTCGTTACTTTGCATCTGATGTTTGAAACTTGGTATGTAGAGTTCCCCATATATTTAACTATTGCGGATGGGCGGCAGTTTCTGCCGTGTATCTTCACTACATATAACCAAAGTAAGTTCCCAAACAAAAGATGCATGCCCACAAACCACGTGCCTCTATGACAAGTTTTTGTAACTTCACTCCATCATATGGCACTGACAGGCCGAACAACAGTTGAAGATTTGGGCGGCTGTACAGGGCTCAGGACTTCAATGGGATACAGAAGAGGGAACTTTTCTCATATTAATAAATTGCCATTCAGCAGCACCGAAAGTATCATTCTTTCCATAAGAAGCCATTTAGTAAGCAAGAAAATATTCAAAAAGAAAATGTAGATTGTGAAACAACCTCAAGTTGCAACACCCAGCTCATAGATTTGTGGCGGTGCGTGCTGGGGCCTACATAATTATTTATCCCTAAAAAATGATTTGCACTGCATTTGCATGGAGCCAGAGAAAAGACCGAGCAATGTTTTCAAAAAAAGTTTCGTTGAGCCAAAGTGGCAGAAATGCGAGAAAAAAAAAAGCTTTGGATAAGTGAAAAAGGTTTTAAGATTTGTGACGTCGCATCGACCATTTCAGTTGTGGTACAGTATCCAAATACGAAACTTTAACACTTTCTTTTTTATTCTGTCTGATCACTAGCGAAGAAAGTTTGCCTGAAATGAAGCACAAAAGCATTTAATGCATACCACAATGCATCAGCTTCGTGTTGCCAGCTTTTAGCGGCATGTAAGCAGCCCTGTGCATAGCATCCAATGAGCAACCTTTATGCACAAAAGTTATTCCTTATTAATTTGAACTGATCAAGTGTATAATGTTTATTTAACTGCTATATCACCTATAAGACCTGAATAAAAAAACAAAAAGCTATTACTATTTGCATGCAAACACGAAAACGTGTTTTCATGAAACTAAGATTTGCTCTTTTTAAGTTATAGGGGACTGATTTCACTTTTGTACATAAACACTGAGTAATTCTTATTGGCTTTACACAGCATTGTTAAACCACCATGAAAGCACTTATGATATCAAGTGGTGCTGACTTCATAAGATCAAGCCTAACACCTTTATAATAACACAACACCTTTCTTGCGGGTATCTTTAAAGGAGGCGTCAAACACTGCTCGGGCTTAGTCAGAAAACGCAACCTTCGGATATCAGAACCGCTATGACGGTTTCAGCCAAATCTAGCAGTTGTGCGGGGCAAGGAGTTTAGAGGTGGAGGGTGAAGTTGCCATTTTCTCATGTGCCCTCTTTTCGTACAGACGGCTCCCCTCATTCTTTTCGGTAGGTGGGATGCCTGCTGTTCAATAAAAAACAACAGATAGCATATCCAATGGACCAATAGCCCACAATCCAAGAGCAGCGTGTAGATATGAAGTGCTTCTTGCCATGGAGGTTCGCGGTCCATAGTGTGCTAACATTGCGCAGTAGCTACACTTGGACACAGGAATCACAGCTAGAGAGCAATCATGTCCCAGACAACACTCGATGTCCTGAGGTCGTCCTCCTATGGTACAATCGTCCTCGCACAGCTCTCATTGACCTTAGTACTTACTGAGGATGACACAAGCTGGTGTGACCCGGAAACGTATTTTCGAGTGCTTTCTGAGGACAACAATTGGTCTGGAAAAGATCCTGTCAAGGATCTTTTGGGGATGACAAAAGCATTGCACTAAGCACTTACTCCTCAAGACCTTTGCGCACCAAGTAGATGCATTTCATATGTGAAAACTTTCTCCACACGTTCGTTTCATACAGCCATAAAGTTTTCGCCTCATTTGTTTCTTTTTTGGCAGAAAATTTTAAATTGCGTGTTCCACTTAATGAGACACATGTAATTAATTGGCCTGAGTATCGAATCTGGTATTGCAAAATGTGCATTTGAAACAGCATGTTCTTAAATGTCACAGCCTTAAATTAGTCATTATACGCTGCTGTAGCGCGTAATAACAAACTAGCAGCTGGCAACCATTGACCATGCGGCATCATTCTGGATAGTCAAGCAGCTAAGCCATTCCAAGCCAACTGACTGTCAAAATGGGGTCTGTCAGTACAGACGCTAGAACGCTTTTCTAGTGTCCGGAGCGGCGGAGTATTGGTGTAACATTTCTCGATCCTGTGGGTAGGCGGCGCTGCCGCTCGCTGGCACGCATTCAGCGCGGGCGCTTGCGCGCGCTATCCTGCCGTTCTACACCTTGGTAAATGAGCGTTGTTTCCTTCATTTCACTCTTGGCAGGCTTCTTGGCCTTTTCATCAACGCGAATTTAGCTCAAAAGACTGCTGGCTTCGGCTGAAAAGTACGCAAATGTTGCTTGCTGAATCCGCGTACGTTGTAGCTCTGTTGGCCGCGATTAAAGTTCTCGATCTTGCTGCGCGAAATAGGTATCCTGCCTTGTACCTACGCTTTTTTATAGTGTCTCAAAATTAAAGCACCCTCGGCGTTGCCGCGGCACTAATTACGCAAGCGCCCACATGGTCGACAACCTAAGTAAGCAGCTTAAAGTGAAACTGGGCAAAACGTTACGGCACCTGGTCTGCAAACCGCGTACCATTAGTCCCCCACGTTTTTGCTGAAGACAGCACATTAACAGCGTCAAACTAATATTGAAAGAACACAGTAGGTCAGAAATCAGCACATGCAACATCTTTACGGTTTATTGTATAACTTTTCACAACACGAAACTGAAACATTGAACTTGACTCGACACTCACTGGCACCGCCTCATCTTCAGAAGCTTTTGCTTTTGCCTCTGCAAATTTTTAGATTTGTTGGAGGCTTTGGCGAGAAAATGCAGCCTCGTGAGAGCATAGAATTTGATGATGTTTGCTGTCACTTCCCGGCCGTGAACTTGGCAGCCAACCATCTTGAGTTCACTGCCTTGGATAAAGCTAGGAAAACAGGTAATGCTCTCGGCATGCAGCTGGTTGCAACTGAAAAAAACAGTAAATGCGTTCTCAAGTTCTGTCACAAGGCGTTCAAGTGGTTTCGATGGGTAAAGCAAGCCACCATGATCAAATGCTTGAGTTAGTGAAGCGTTACTATTCAACGTGGCCTGAACAGGAAGAATGCATAATGATGATGCACACTTGAGACACGATATTTTCTTCATGGTCTTGCGTACAACGTAACCAGCTCCATAATAAATTAATCGGCTGTCACTCTTCTTTTCTACAAAGTCCTTGTGATGAAGCAAGGAGCTGTGCTTCTCCATCATATCTGCGGCATCTGCTAAATTTCCTTCATCTAAAAGCCTGTCCACGAGAGTTGTCATTTTACCAGCTTCTTGCGTAGATGCGTCAGACGGCTCCAAGAGTGCACTGATCAGCTCAGGCTGAGAATTTCCACCCCTGGGTGGTCTTGCTAAGGTATGGAAGCTGAGGTTATTAATAATGATCAAGAACTGTCCTGGAGTCGGATGATCGTTACATCCGAATGACTGACGAACAATCCCAAAGACGTTCTCTACTTTGTCCTGACTGAGGTTCGCAGTGAGCAAGTACTTATATTGAAGCTTGGAAGTGGCGTAATCCAAAAGAGACAGCGTACTTTTCAGTGTTACACGAAGTCCCAGGGCAGTCCCTGCACTCAGAAAACCACCACCATGCTTTGCTTCATGCTCCTCCCATTCGCTTAAAAAAATAATGAACTCTTCCAAGAACTCTGCACTTTTTGAGTCTGATCGAAGACCTCTGAGTGGTGTTCGCGACGACATGATGAAAATCAACTTCTCCATAAGCCTTACAAAGTGCTCTGTAGGCTCGACTATACGGAACTTTTCCTGCAGATCACTCTTGTAGAAAAAGAGTCCTTTCAGGACCTCCTCGATGAACAGCTGGTATGCCAGGTTTACGCGCATTTTTTCAAAAGCATTTGGCTCGACATGTGCTTGTGTTATATGTGGCATCACTTTCAGTGTGATGGCTTCTCTGTCATTTTTCCAAGCCTCCTTGATAGGACTGACATGGACGTGGCCTTGTGGGATCTGTAATCCTTTGGAAACAAAGGCATTCCGCACGCACTTAACAAGGTGTGGAAAGTCAGAAATCATGTGTAGGTGTCTTGCAGAATCAACAGGATGAGCAGCCTTGCATATGATTTCCACTGATGACGCTGCAACCAGTAAGAAAATTATTTAGGCTAATGCAGGCAAGAAAAACATTGTTTTACAAAGATGTACAGAATGAGGCAACTTAACCTTTATTCCAAGCAGCTTCCAAGGACTTCTGTTCCATGGCGCACCGTCGCTTGTCCAATAATCAACACGAAGACCTGATT